ATAGTATAGTATAGTATAGTATAGTATAGTATAGTATAGTATAGTATGTCATTGTATAGTATAGTGTGATTTAGTGGTGTATAGAATAACTTGTCAGTCAAGTATTTTCCCACATCAGTTGACTTTCAACTATTTTTCCTTTTACTTCATTGTTCTGTTTTTTTCCTTACTTTTTTACTTAGTTGAATCTATGTTACAGGCTAAGTTGTAGCATAAAAAGCTGAAGCATGTAGTAATTCATGGCTTTTTACTATCATGAAAAAATTATAGTAATATACAGTAATATCTCCAGTTAATGTTTGGCCTTTTTTTAAATAATCTCTAACAGGTCCCAGGGCGGAGCGCTTCTCTTTGAACGCAGTCACTGGTGAGCTCCATTCATCATCCCCGCTTAGCCACTCAGAACGAGCTGAGTACTCTCTGACAGTGACCGCTACTGACAGAGGACTGCCCCCTCGCAGCGCCTCCTGCTCTCTCACCATTCAGGTCAGACTCTTGTTGGATTCCAGCCAGCGCAAACACCCTCACTACACACCTATTTAATATCAAAGTATAGTCTCTGGGCCGAGAGGATCCGTGTCTTTGGGCCTCTCAGACTAGCTGCCGACATATCAGCCTCACTTCTGACAAGGTCCCCTCCCTTTTCTTCCCCTGTGCATTTTCAAAAGGGAAATTTCTATCTGAAATGGAAAAGTGGGCCTGAATCAAATACTCCCAGCTGGCTTATGATGAGGGCCAGCTGTAGCCTGCTCTGATCAAGGTCATACTCAATGACTTCAACACTTTTTTAATACAGTAGCTCTTTTTTTTTTTTTTACAGAGTAGCATGGTTTTACCTACACTCCACATAAAACACAGCCCTAAAGTTAATTAAAGTTCAAATCCAATATTGAGCAGAAATATACACAATGGAAGAGTCCTAGAAAAAAAACACTGATTTATAAGTTCCAGGGAAATCAAAATTGCATATAAATAGCTACACTGAGTGCCAGCTCAGTTTTTCCTCCTTTCCAATAACAAAAAATGAAATTCATAATTATTAGTTAATTGGGTTAACCAGCGTAGTGTTGTTCTTGCCTTCTGACGCATTTATGTAATTTCCTTTAATCATCGTCTCAGACTTATTTTTGAAAAATCTGTCAATAACAAGATGAGATGGTGCAATTTCTTTTTGGAACACGTCTTTTCCATGTAAAGTGGAACTAATTTACAGCTTGTCAACAAGCTTTTTTTTTGCCAGAGTGCCTACCTACCGTGAGAACTGCAGTGTGGGAATCACAACTGAATATCCAGATCAGTCTATCTTCTTACAGAACTTTTTGCAAAAACAAAAAGGTCAACAAAGACACAGCCTCCTCATCCCTTTTTTGCTGCTGAATGATTAAACAGTGTGTCATGTCCAGCTTTTATACTGTGTCATAGTCTTTGAAGATGCTTTAACAGTTCTTCAAGAGTCGTGTAAATCAAGTGATATACAGCCCACTGCTCAACTCAAAGCTTTTTACAGTTCCGTCCTTTGATTGTGTTACTTTTCTCATCTATTATTTTTCCTGGCAGCCACAGGGGAATCTCATAAAGTATGATTAATGTTGGCATCCCTTTAACTGGTCTGATATACAGTATATCCATGGGATACCGCTCAAGTGAGAGAAGATGACAAAATCTGTTGTTACTTTTTCTAAAGTACATCAGATTATTTCATTCAGACTTGGAAATTTTAAACCTAAGCTTCCTGTGCACATCTAAATGAAACATCTGTTGGACCACGTTTCATGAATGACACACAGTGTGTTTCTTTTTTTTTCAGGTTGTCCCCATTAACAGGCTTACCACTAAGACAAATTCCCACTCCCTGTCTTTTAACTCGGTGGAGGAGGCCAGCCCTGGCTCTGTTGTTGGCTCAGTTTGCCTCCATGACAGAGGAACGTTGGAGGAAGGCAAGGTTACCTACACAGTGGTAGGAGGAACAGACAAAGAAGGGACCTTTGTTGTGGACCGCCAAACTGGTGATGTCTACCTAGCTCGTCCCCTTGATTATGAACGAGACGTACGATACAACTTGAAAATCGAGGTGAACGACTTCTCACAAACACCTCCTAGCAGCACCCTTGTACACTTGGACATTGACATAGAGGACAGCAATGACCACACTCCCGAGTTCATGGAGGACCCCATCACCATTGTCATATCAGAGAATGTGGCGGTGGGTTCATCCGTCTACACTTTCCAGGCCACAGATAAGGATGGCAGTGGGCCCAACAGCGAGCTGGTGTACTCCATTCTCCACCAGTGGCCAGACACACCTGACCTATTGACCCTTGATCCTGCGACTGGTATTCTCTCCTTGGGCCGCCAGCTGGACCACGAGCTCACTTCAACACTGATCCTTGTGGTAAAGGCCACAGATTCTGCCCCCGAGGCCAGCCAGAGGCGCTGGGGTACCGTCACCGCGAGGGTGTACGTGACCGATGAGAACGACAACCCGCCAGAGTTCATATCCCCAACAGCCGTCAGCGTGATGGAGGACCAGCCCGTAGGCTTTGTGGTGCTCTTCGTCATGGCCAGAGATGCAGACCAAGGGGAGAATGGTAGAGTGACTTACAGAATCCAGTCAGGCAACACCGGAGGAACATTCAGCCTCAACCCTAACACAGGTAGGTCCAGCTCCGTCCCAGCAGAGGAAGCTTTGAGCACTTTGTGTTACCGAGCAGAAAATACAGGCTCAGTCATCACCAAGTTGGGTTTTCTTCACAGATGAGCTAGATGTTATAAATCAGCTCTCATTTATGACAATTAGCTTACCCCACAGTATCTTTGACCACAACTACAATATTTTACTTACCAAAACTATCTGCTCCACTATCAAATTTTTTAAAAAGTATGTTGTTAAGCATAATTTGGGGTTATCGGCAATTCACAGTCATTCTGCTGACAGCGTTGTGTAAATCATGTACAAATGAGGGATTTATCTCTATGACAGTTAGGATAATTTGAAATCAGCAAGTTTTCCTTTTACAGTCTGTAATCAGACACAGAGCGTAGTTTTTATTTGACCTCTGGAATGTCTTTTAATTGTCCCATGTTTTACCCACATGCCACTTTATTTCTTTCGGGCATAGTTTGCTTAGAATTTCTGGCTTAATTCTTAGTTGTATTCATCTTTTGGGGTTTTTCCTCAAGTTTCAAAACCCTTGTCGGACTTTTTTATGTGCTTGTTTGGTTTTCAGTATACATCAACAGTGCCAAATCATCCTTTACACTCACAAACCCTTTTAAAATCTCTTCTTAATACTAAGTACAAACACTGTTGCTCCACCTCTCATGACTTATTCCACTCAGCTGAAGGCCAGACGGAGCAGCCAGCCAAATATTAAACACACACACACTTGAGAATGTGCAAGCATACGTGCACACACAACAACCCATCATCTGTTATTGTGGATCTATTCCCATGAAAGACCAAAGAACCTCCTGCTTGCGCTTCTGGGAACCATTAGAGAAGGGATCAGTTACGCATGTTTGTGTGGACTCATGTGTGTGGGTGTATGTGTGTATTTAGGCATGCATATGCACATGTGTTTGTGTGCTTGCTTAGACTCTCACTTAGTCAGTGCTGACCTTGGGCTGTTTAGTCCTTTGGGCTTTGTTGTTGTGTTTGAGCCACGTGTCGACGTTTGGTCTTCCTTCCCTTCGAGTTCCAACCAGGATGCCCCCTGGGGCACTTCACGGATGAAAACATTCAGGGTCTGTCATGCATGTCACTTCTTCCGCCGTCCGTTGTGGACTCATCTTGAAGTGTTTTCATGCACACTGGCTATTAGTTAAAATAATGGTAGAGGTGATCTGTTGAGCACCTGGCCCGCTCCTGTTTTAGGACCACTTTCTTTAGACCTGGGACCCAGTCTGCTGGCTGTTTTCATCACTTTCGTGTCACTCATTTGCTAAATAAGAGGGTCATTAAGTTATTATTTGGATCCTTAGAAGTCAGAGTAATACTAATTTTCAGCCCTCACTGTCAGATGTGAGATCATTAATTTCACTTTAGGAGCAAAAATGCAGTGGTGATAAATGAATAAATTATCAGTAAAAGACAACACACTTCATGGATTAGCACATCAAATGATGACAGACAACCTCAGCATAAAGTACAAGAAATAAGTTGTCTACGCTTCCTCTGCCAGCTCCAACACTGCAGTCCAAAGCTCTGGCGCCACAAAAAGTACATAGGATTAGGATGTTAGAACTAAAAACGTCTAAAAAACAAGGGAGAACGTTCCCCAGTCTGTCTGGCCTCTCTCTTTGCCCATATGTTATCACTGACCGGGCATGTGGCAGGATCACAGAGGAATAAGATTTGGGGAAAAAAAATTCCCCCTTTGTAACTTTTACCAGATTAAAGCTTTGGGGCAAGTTATCTCAGTCTTCAACAGACACAAAGTAAAAAAACATAAACAAAGAAGTTAAAAGCTAAACACCCCTGACCCTCTCTGACTTTAACAGTTGAATCTCATTTTAAAGCATGAAATTGAAATTGAATCAGTCCAAGCTCTACCCTCTTAGGGCAGGATAATGAAAAGGCTACGGCACCCCTAATTCCTATGGAGCACGGCAGGCCTGGCTGTTGCGTGTCTAGAGTGTGTGTTTACTGCCTCTTTCTTGATGGCTGCGGCATTCTTCAGTGGAAAATCTCGTAAACTGTGGCCAGACCGTTTGGGCTGTTGCAGTGGTGGTGGTAGCTCTCAGGTAGGCAATGTTGTGTGTGTGCAGGATATTAGCTTTGATTTGTCCCTCACACGGCAGCTTTTCACACTTGCTTTTAAAATGAGCTGAAGACACAATTCTGGAAAACGGTTAGTTTAACTGCCTCTGAAAACACGCTGGGAAACCAACTGTTATGCAGTTCACTGAAAAGTATCTCCTTTGTCAAAGCTGACCCTCAGTTTCTTTCTGTGTAGGTTCCCTGTCTATCTTTAAACCTCTGGATCGTGAGGAGCAGGACATCTTTAACCTCACAGTAATCGCTGAGGATCATGGGATACCCCAGTTCTCATCCAGCCAGCTGCTGTGTGTCCATGTCATCGATGTGAATGATGAAGTGCCATGGTTCGAGGAGAACCAGTATGAGGCCCAAATCTCTGAGAACCAGCCTCCAGGAACGAGTGTTTTGACAGTGTCTGCCTCTGATCTCGACCAAGGTGACGTATGCAGCTGTTGGACTCAGTTATTTCAGTTTTTGAAAACATAGTCATATTATGTAATCAACAGCTGGATGATGGCGAGTGAAAAAATTGCCAATTCAAACAAGAACAAATTGAAGTGAAACAGTTGTGTTTAAGGCGTCCAAGTTTCAGTTAACCATTCTGTTGTTTTTCAAACTGATACAGTTTCTGATATGAAACTAATTCTGATTACATCTTGAGTAACTTGCATGACATGTTTTTATTTAAGATTAACAAAAACTCAAGATAGATTTATTTTGCTGAGTAAGTCTTCACCTTATAGACACCCAGTTGGCTTTAATTGAATGCTACACAGGAGGGGGGGGGGGTTAACGACACAGAGGATGCATTCCCCCTGACTTAGTCAGATGCACATAAACCAGAAGGATTATAAACTTTCTGCACAAAAGAAATTAGTGAAGTAAACAGATTAAGTTGCCAGGCTGCTTTCTTTTAGCACGCAATCTGACACCTGAGGGACCACTACGCCTGCCAAATACTTAGACAGCAAATTTAACAGCATGCAAACATAAAAATACAGGCTATTCCAAGCGCTTGATGTCTTGAATCTGAAGTTTATGGGAATAAGTATTTAGTTTGACTGATTTTTTAAAATTCTGATGTTTTTCCTAATGTCTCTGTACAGGAATCAATGGGCAAGTGACTTATGGTGGCATTTCACAGGGAGAATTTAGCATCAACCCACTCACCGGTGTCATAACAACCACTAAGCCTTTGGACAGAGAGTCTCAGAGCTATTATATTGTCACAGGTAACACCCTCTAACTGTCTTTATTGTATTACAAATACATTGTGTCATGTTTGATTTAATTATTAGAGATGTAATTTTTTCCTCTCTGTGATTTTTATTTTTTTGCAGTTTACGCAAAAGACGGAGGCCTTCCACCCAACTATGCCAAGGCGACAGTGAAGATCAGGGTGCTTGATGTTAACGACAATGCTCCTGTCTTCGGTCGTCTTTACTACACCATCGAGGTGCCTGAGAACATGGAGGCGTTACCTCTTTTTACTCTCAGAGCGATCGACACCGATACAGGAGATAGTGGGGAGATAAACTACAGAATCGCAGGTGTGAACATATTTGTAATGCACCTTTTTGACTCTAAATATGAGCTGCTTCTTGTTAGGTTTCGGATACTTCATACTCTAACAGCTGTTTGCCATTTCTCCCCTGGCAGCTGGCAATCCATCTGGAGACTTTCACCTAGACAGACAGTCAGGGGTGTTGTATACCTCAAGACCTCTGGATCGGGAGAAGAGAGCAGGATATACTCTAACGGTCATAGTTCATGACCAGGGCCGCCCCCCCCTCAGCAGCACCGCCACTGTAGAGGTGACAGTCCTGGACGTCAATGACCACAGCCCACAGTTTCAGAGCAGCGACTATACCGCTGACATTTCGGAAGACGTTCCCATTGGTTCACTGGTTCTAGAGGTGAAAGCCGTTGATATGGACTACGGGGCCAACAGCCAGGTCATGTACTCTCTTAGCCGTGGCTCCCAGAGCATGTTCATCATAGATCAGAGCACTGGCCGCATAATCACAGCCGCACCCCTAGACAGAGAGAGAACGGCCTCTTACACGTTTGAGGTCTGTGCCACCGACTCCTCACCTGCAGACCCACACAACTCTACAGCTCAGGTGACCATCTACATTCAGGATGTGAACGACAACGCCCCCTTCTTCATCCAGGACCCGCTCATTGTGAATATATCTGCCAGTGGAGTCTCTAGCCGTCGAGTGTTGGCCACAATGAGAGCAGAGGACAAGGACTTTGGGGCGAATGGCTCAGTTTTTTATCGTTTTGCCAACCCAGTGAGGGGCTTTACCATTAACTCCCTTACAGGAGACATTCAGGCCACCGAAAACCTACAGACCCTCACTCAGAGTCAGAGGACTTTGATAGTTCAAGCCATGGATCAAGGAAACCCAGCTCAGTCTTCTCTTGGGGTGGTTGTAATTTATATTAAGGAACAGAGTTACAAGGGCATCCGCTTCTCACGCACGGCAAGAGACGTCAGTCTGCAAGAGAACGCCGCTATAGGTTTGACTGCTATATGGCTATTATTTAAATCATACTACATTATTATTAATGATGTACGTCATACATTTGAATTAAATGTTTCAACACAATGTATTTTTTACCCATCAGGCACAGTGGTGACCCAGACTCACGCGCAGTACCCCGATGGATCTAAAACCGGGATCAGCTACAGCATTTTCAGTGGGAACAAAATGCATTCTTTTGGAATAAACACCATTACTGGTAAGTGGACAAATTGAAACACGCACTGCAAGATAGCGTTTTCTTTATTTACGATATGATTCTCTGACTTTTTTGTGAATTAGGTGAAATATGGGTCCAGAAATCTGAAGGAATCGATTATGAAGAGACCCCAAAACTCCGCCTAGTGGTGAAAGCTGAGACAGCATCCTCCAGCTCATACATGGCTGTCAACTTAATTCTGCAGGATGTAAATGACAACTTGCCACGCTTCCAGCTCCAGAACTATGTAGCGTATATAAGAGAGGCACAGGGCTATGATTTCCCCCTCATCCAGGTGCAGTAGCCACATACCCACATGTTTATTATGGTTGGCTTTTTTTTTAGTTGTACAATTAGAAAGACACACTCAAGTCTTCAAAAATCTGGAATTTTCTCAACTCTGTAGCGGAAATTACTCCGTTGAACTGCATGTATTCTCAGTGTCCCGACTGAATAGGCCCAACATTCATGAGTGTCATAAAGCCACGTCCTTAAAGCTGTTTTTTATGAACTCTTGACATCCAAGTTCAATATTTCTCACAAGTTAAAGTTACACTGAAACAACAATGGCAAATATTTCTGTATTTATGTTTCCAAAATGTGGTGGTAATTTCTTCAGGTCGCTGCAGATGACCTGGACCACGGTCAAAATGGTCAGGTGACCTACTCTATCAGGTCGTCTTCCATGAGTGGCTTATTCAAGATAGATCCATTGACTGGTAGCATCACAACGGCGGCTATTATGGACAGAGAAATCTGGACCCAAACAAAGTAAGCCTTTTTTTTTCTTGTAGAAAACCACGTATGTGACTTTCACACATGGATGTTTATAATTTGTGAATGAGTGATAATGTTGAAAGTAGATGATGACTTTAATGAAAGAAGATGGTCTTTTATTGATTTTATTTCTCATTGTTTAAAACTATAAAAGGATACAAAGATATCCAACTGGGTTCGAACAAAGTTCAGATATTGATATTCATTATGTGGCACCAGGCTTGTTGTCACGGCAACAGACCGGGGAACCCCACGGCTGGCTGGCTCTGCCACTCTTACTGTGATCATCATCGACCTCAATGACAACAGTCCCACAATTCCTCTGCCTCGGGAGATCCGGGTGCCTGAGGGTAAGCTCCACAGTGGAAGTTAGACCAGTGATATTATTATAAAGCCTCACATCACACTCTCTGGCAGCTCACCCAGCTGGGCTCAGTAAGAGAAATCTGATTTTTTTTTCTTATGAAACAAGTTATTGCCAATGTTCCTCTGTTCATTTCCTGTCAGTTAGGTCAAGGCTTTCCAGAAAAAAAAAATCTTCACAAAGAGCAGATTTTATTTCCACAACTAAGTCCTCATGCTTCTCATGAGTTTCTACCTAAACATCTGCTCTTCTTCTCCCAACCATCCCACATCTAGATACTCTCATTGGGACAGTTATCACCCAGGTTACAGGGAATGATGTGGATTCAGGACCACCCCTCTCCTATACGCTACACCTGGATGTTAACAGCCAAGGCATGTTCGGGATTCATCATTATGGAGGAGGAGTGTCTCTGACTGGACCTCTGGACTATGAGGAAAGGACATGGTACACTCTGACAGTCCGCTCCTCGGACTCCAAACATCAAAGCGAAGCCAACCTGACTGTGCTGGTGGACGATGTGAATGATAATGCCCCCATCTTTACACATGATTTGTATCAGGTACATCTATAGTTTGATGCCAACATACCTGTGTACCGTCTATAATTACTTTATAGACTAGCAGAGGGTTTGTTAAACTACATATGCGCTGTGTTTCTTCTTATTAGGCAACTGTGTCAGAGCACCTCCCAGCAGGCAGCGCAGTGATCACAGTAACCGCCACTGACCGGGACTCTGGGGAGAATGGGAAGATTACTTATAAAGTAACATCGTCCACTAAGGGTGTTTTCTACATTGACCCAAGCAATGGTAAGATTACTATTTGAATATTAAAGGTTGTTTATATTCATTTAAACTTCATAGAGCCCCAAGCTCTCTTTGAAAATATATACCCAAACATGGTATTTTTGCAACCAATGGTCTAAAACTGTTCCAGTGTTTTGTTTGTTGATGGAAATTTAAACCCAGTTTTTATTATTGTCATTTGTTTCTAATGTTCTGGTTGTAATAGCCTCTAAGTATATTACAAAAGTAGACTGTTTTTGCCCCAGGCTCTGATGTCTCCGGTTTACAAATTAGTCGACATCTTTCAGATGTCGCCAGCTTAATTGCTAACCGTTATTCATCAACGTTAAAAAGGAATTTCCTGATGTTGTGAAATGTAACATATTTTTCCCTCACCATGTTTTCTGTTTCTTCACAGGTACTCTCTTCGTCAAGCAAAAATTAGAATTTGATTTTGATCATCCGTCCATTCTGGTGGTAATTGAGGCGCACGACCGGGGAACTCCTTCCCTGTCAGCCTTTGCCACGGTCCAAATACAAGTGTCTGATGTCAATGACAACGCCCCCATCTTCCACCAGTCAGAGTACAAAGCCTCTGTGTCTGAAGATGGGCTGCCTGGCTCAGCTGTTTTGACATTAGAAGCTGTGGATGGAGATCTTTTTCGGGACAATTGCGGTTTCGATTTTTCCATTGCCAGTGGCAACACTGGTAATGCCTTCCAGATTGAGAGCAGTGTGCGTTTCATAGAAGGGCAGGGCTTCCAGACAGTTGGCAGCTTGATCCTGGTTGAGAAGTTGGACTTTGAAGTAGTACCAAGTTATAACCTGACTGTAGTGGTGTCTGATCGCGGAATCCCACAGCGTAGTTCCAGTGTGCCTATCCTTATCAGTGTTACTGACACAAACGACAACCCTCCAGCGTTCACCCGAACAGATTACAATGTTGTCTTGAATGAGGGAATTGCAGCAGGGACAGAGATCTTACATTTATCTGCCACTGACCCTGATTCTGCCCCTAATGGAGAGGTGCAGTACTTCATAAGCTCAGGAGATGAGACACAACTTTTTCAGATGGATCGTTGGACCGGAACTTTGAGCCTGCAAAGACCTCTCGAAAGCAAAACAAAGTTGTCTCATGTGATTGTTGTCCAGGCTACTGATGGTCAAGGGCATTACGCATTGGCCCCCGTTAGTATAGAGGTAAAAGACATCAACGATAATAGACCGTTCTTTCCTCTGAAACAAGTGACAGTAAGCATCGTGGAGAACCAACCCCAGAATGCCTTAGTTACCAAACTTTACGCCATTGACCACGACAGAGGTGCTTTTGGACAGCTGAGATATTACATGTTAGATACATCTAGAGAGGGAAGAGAGAGTTTCCTCATCAATCAAACATCAGGAGAAGTGCGGACTCGCTCTACTTTTGACTTTGAGAAGATCCCCTTTTTCCATTTTGAGGCTGTTGCAATGGACGCCAGCAACTATTCTGCCACCGTAGCAGTACAAGTTTATATTACTGGGGAGGATGAGTATGATCCCGTTTTCACTTCCTCAGAATTCATGTTTGAAGTGCCTGAAGGAGCAAGGAAAGGTCAAATTGTAGGCAAAGTACAAGCCAGGGATGAGGATGGGGGTGTTGATGGCATTGTTCTCTACTCATTATCGGACAATTCGCCTTATTTTGAGGTCAATAAGTCAACAGGAGCAATTTCCCTGAAGATGGACAGCAACAGTAGACACATGAGCCGCTCAAAGAGAGAGGTTCGTCTGATAACACTAGATGTGATCGCTCACAGCCCTCTGGAGACGTCTCGCACAGCTGTGACCAAAGTTTCCATAGATGTCAGCCACACGTCTTTTGGTCTCTCCACTGATATGAATTTGCTGCTCATCAGTATTATTGCAGTCTCACTGGGGACCATAGTCATGTTGATATTAATCGCTGTGGCATTGTTTTTCCTGAAATGTCGACGTCACAAATCTGAGCAAAAAGGACAGAAAAGGGCCGAAATGCCTGGCACCCTACTTCATAACCTGGAGGAGACCAAACTCGCAGCAAATGAACTGATTTACCATCAGGCTCTTCCTGGATACGCTGCAGATCAGAGTGGCAGCAGTGGGGGTCCGTATACTCGCGGCGGATCCCTGGACCCCTCCCACTCTAGTGGCCGTGGCTCTGCTGAGGCCGAGGCAGCAGAGGATGATGAAATCAGGATGATTAACGAATACCCTCGAGTGTCGAGTATCTCATCCTCCATGCAGGAGCGTATTTCTGCTAGAGGTCCAGACTCTGGAATACAGCAGGACGCTGACCAGCTATCAGACGTGTCCTGCGAGCCCTCCGTGGATTGGTTCAAAGGGAAGAAAATGGGCAATTTAAATAGCACTATATTTGCTGGCCAGGTGCCAGTCTACAGAGATGAAGGAGGCGGGTATGTGGGTGTGGGGCGGGGACTCAACATTTCCAACCCTAAAGACTACATTTTTCCTGAGGATGGAAAGCCCGCGGTGGATGGGTCACTCACAGCCATTGTGGCCAGCGATGAGGAGCTGAGGGGCAGCTATAACTGGGACTATCTCCTGAACTGGTGCCCCCAGTTTCAACCATTAGCGAGTGTGTTTACTGAAATAGCCCGTTTAAAAGATGAAACTGCACCCTCCCATCCTCGCAGGTCATTTCATCACAAAGCAAAAGCAGAGTCAAGAATCGACCCGCCACCTCTCATTACCTCCGTGGCCCATCCTGGAGCTAAAACTGTTCCTCCAAAACCGGCCGTATCGAGGACATTCCCTCAGTTGGCCTCTTTCCGGAGATCTCCACTCAGCGCTGAGGGATCCATCTCCTCAGTTGCAATGTCTCCAAGTTTCTCCCCCTCTCTTTCGCCGTTGGCAGCGCGTTCTCCTGCAATTACGCCCTTTACTGTCTCACAGGGCCCCTCAGCATCCATGATCAGCACAACAGAACACAATCTGGAACACAGTGAGGAGGCAGAGCTGCGGATTTGAATTAAAATGGCAGGATTAAAGCGGAGTAACTGCTGTCCCAGACTTGCTCTACTGTATGACCATAGGCTGCATATGAGTTCCGGTCTCCTCTCTGTTCTGTTTCTCAAGACAACAGGTACTGGCTTTTGTATCAAAAAGTAAAAAAAACTGATACTGTGGTGCTTTCTGAAGTCATTTCTGAGGTTACGGGCCAAAAAGGACTATGCCTACATGTGTGTTTGTGTACGTGTGACAGAACCTTATTATCTTATGTTGATTACATTGATTTGCACATACAGATGGAAATGCATACATGATGTCAATATTTTGTACAAAATCATTGTCTATATTTTTATACTTCAGTGTGGTTTCTTACTACATACATTACATTGAAAGGTTACAAAAACCTCAAAATATTTCTATATTTGTATATTTGTAGCTTGTACTGTACACCTGTTCTTGTACTGTAAGTTTGTTGTATTTCTTGTCATCGTGTTTTTTAAATGAAGCTCCTCATCAAGGTTTTATGACTTGGGGTTTTTGTATGAGAAATTGTAAATATTTATAGAAGAGGAGACATCCTTGCTTTAACAATGAAACATCTGTCAGAATAGAGTATTGTACGATCTTAGAATCCTGTGTTTGATCTCACATCAAAAGGTAGAAATGAATGTGAAACATAGTCTCAGTTTCTAACATGCATCCCAGGAAGATGGACCTTGATATTCTCTGATGTTGTTACGCACATTTCCTGCCATTTCTCTTATGTCTTACTGCTTTTCATTTTGTCATTGTGAAGAAATACATGCGGCTGGGGGGGGATGATGTAACTTTCTTATGTTGCAATGTAACAAAAACAACAACAACAAAACTGGTAAATTATTACTATCGTTATACTGAAATTTACAACAGTCTCATCTCATTTTATACCCAGATCAATATTGTGGTATACATATAATGACCCTCATTAATCAAGCTTTGGGCCACATTATTCTGTCTTATGACTGGATGGCCTAACAAATGTCATGTGTGATATAAGAAAGGAAATATTTCTGAATGTTCAAGCTCCACCACAGAATGTTACACATACTGTACCGCCGTTACACGGAGGCTTCCTCCATAAAGTGGAAGTGTGTTTCTGGCTGTTTTTATATAATAAATGAATGTGTCCGTTTGCATCGTTAGCTGCCCAGTCATCTTGCTTACTGAGTTTTAGATTGATATAATTTCCTAACACATCATCTTAATTCCATTAAAGCAGGCCCTATAGGCAGTGAGGCTTGGTAAATGATCTATATGGATAATAAACTGACCCGGGCAAATTAAACATTGAGAATATTTATGTGATAGAATGAAGGCACCACTTGTGTGTGTGTGTGTGTGTGTGTGTGTGTGTTTATTTGTCTTTTTTTTGTATCCTGCCACTTGCCTTTCATCTTTCATAAGAAATTACCCCTAATGTTCACACGTATCATTTTGCAGAAAAAAAACATGTTTTGAGCGAAAAGTGCCTGATTAAAGTACTTCTGATCACACGGTTGCCTCTGTCACATCTGTCAGCTTTGAATGGTGCCTTTGGATTTCTAAATGTATGAAGATTTCAATACATTTGCAGTAGGCATTTCAACAACCTCCTCTAAGAGTTGAGTGTTTGGCTCTTTGTAACAATCGAGTTTTTGAATTTATTTATTAAATATTTGAACCATCAGACCTGTAATAGTCTAATGAACTATAGGGTCAGTATTATCCAAAGAAATATTAGCAATATTTGATTTAATGATAGCTATTAAGTGTAATTTTGAACTTAATAGGTATATATGATGTAACATTTAGGATATCAAAACTTTTTCAAAGTTATGTCTTCTCATGTCCAAAATGTTAACTATAACAGCCACGATTCATCTTTTTTCTTTGAGTTATTACTTGGCTTATTACTCTTTAGCTGTGTCAAGTTATTACTTTATTTCTTCATCATAAGACACAGAATGTGAAGCACAGGTTTAAAAATGCCTGAGAGTTTGGCTGTTGAAACTTTCTGCAGCTTACCAGTGTCACTGTACTCAGAAGGTGCCTCACGTCTGAAATCCTCCTGAAGCCCATTTCAGATTCCATATTTCGGAATGAATCCATTTGAATAATGTTACGAAATGGATTTTGTTGAGGAACTCCTGTGTTGGACACTCAGAAGCCTCATACTGCTATAGGTCACACAGCGGCCTGCTGCCCACGTAAAAAAATGACCCGAAACCGACTGCTGCTGTCTCTGTGTGGACACACACACACAAACAGATGTAAACTTGTGTGTGTGACACTGGATTTGAAACGGGAGCCGCCGGGACTGAACTGCAAAGCACGTTGATGATAAATGAAAGCGTGAGTGTCATAGCAGGTTTAGGTTATGAGATGAATGCTGTGACCCGAATCCAGCACCTTCGATCAGAGGCCAGTAAATACACAACACAGCTCAGATTATATGAGTCAGAGGGCAAAAGCCAAGCCATTACTCAGGCCTAAATTAAAGGCTGCGCATAAACCAAATGAAATCTGTCATTTTCCTGCCAATGTGATGTGGATACACAGGAGCTTGCTCCGTTTACATAAAAACTTTAGGGCCATTGTGCCCCCATTCATTCACTGACATATGGCCCTAAATGTTGTGCTTCTCAAAGAGCTTTTGGGGATTTTATTCTACACTATCCATAGGAGTCTCTGCTACTCATAAGATAGCTGATACTGTAAACTAAGACATTTGTGCCTTGATCATCTTTTTGTTAAACGAATTTAGCAACTACATAAGATGAAATAGTGATAAAATACAGCCTCAATCTAACATCAATGATCAACATTTTAGCTGTTTTTGTTTATCAAATTTCTACAGAAAAGGCTGTCTGAATGTTTTCATGAGGATTTAAAAAATACTACCTCCTCTCGAATTTGTATGGTATCGTTTCTTGCGCCTGTCCAGGGTGTGCTCCACCTCTGACCCGATGACCGCTGGGATAGGCTCCAGGATAGGTGCTACAGAAGATGGATGCATGAATCATGTTGGATGTGCAAATCATTCACACTGGCTTAATTTTAATAAGTTTTAGGCCAGAGCCTCAATGTTTTTCTGTTATATCCATTTCACACTAGATGGATAGATAGGGCTAAACAGTGTTTCTCTAAAAGTGGGGTGGTGATCTCATGTAGATGACATGCTGAATTATAATAAGTGACAGTTACAAAAGATGAATACCAGCTGGATGGATCAGTCCGATGTAAAATGGGGGGATACTGATCTTTGCATCGAGAATGAGCTGCTTGATCTGCAGGTCCACTGTAGTGCATGAGACTCTCCTCAGAAGAAACCCGGGCTTTCATCCAGTTAAAACAAGGCCAAAGCAAAGCCAATGCCTCTGCTCATGCCCGGATTACCCATAAACCCCTCATACCTGACGCTTGCACAGTAGTCTCTTCCTGTTCCTTCAGCGTAGAGACAGAGTCCAGGGATGCTCCAACCTTAACTTAATAGGATCCTAACTCCAAACTCTACAAAGAGATGTTTTTTTTTTCCTTTTAAGATCATCTTGTCTCCAATGAGTTCTGTTTTTCCCCTGCTCTTTCTTCAAGGTCTTGCCAGGCTACTTGCGTGACTAGAGGGAGTGGGAAAAAAAAAAGGTTTCAAAACCCATTGGCACGCGAGCCCCAAATCTATTTTTGGAGAGCTCTCTTTTTTTTTTTTTTTTAAAAAAAAAAAAAAAAAAAGCCACAGGGAGAAATAGGCAATACCAGGGTGAAGGGGGTCTGTTTCTCATTTGGACGGGCCTGCCTTCTGTCCTGCCCCACCAGTGTCAGAACCACAGCTCTACGGGGAAAGAGGGTGGCCCAGACCAGGGAGGAGAAGTGTGTTTTTCCTGTAAAACCACGGCCAAAACTATGGACACTCATCTTGGCCCTTGTCACTTAGCAACCAGCCCAACCTGCTTCCCATTACTGGAACCATCTGCTTGTGTTTCAGCCTCTACTTTGTTTTGATTTGTTTCATCTTCTTTTATCTTTCCTTAAGTTTCCTGTGTTTAAATTTGAGCTTTTAAACCCATCTCTCAATGTTAATTAATTTTCATCAAGCGTTGTTTAGCAGGCCCCTCTTAGCAGCCTAAACTGCAAAGCAGGAAATAGTTTGACTCCATTCTGCCTTGGTTAGTGTTTTTCTTGTTTTTGTGTACAAAAATTACAAAAAGAGACAGATGATGAGAAAGGAATGCGACAAACTCTTCACCAGTTGTTTATTGTTTGACATATCTGAGAAGACTGTGCTGTTTTGACTTGTTTGTCGGCAAACATGTTTACAATATGGGCATATGACAGCCCTAAATAATGTGTTTGGAACTAACACCAGAGGTTTAAATTAGTGCGGTTATTTCTTTGAAGCTGTTGTTGTGACGACAGAACAACGGCGATCAACAAAAATTACCAGCTGGAGCTTATAGGCCTCGCAAAGAACCATTCCCATTCCTGATCGCAGTAATTAACAGGGTTTTCATGGAAGTGCATTCTCCTTACTTACTTGATCTTGATCTTTATCTTACTTGAAAATAGGATGTTCAAAATAGTACAGAGAGATGACACAGCAGATCATTTCCCATTTGAGCAGATCTGCTTAGCAGATCTTTTTTTTGGAATGGAGTAAGCCACTCGACCCTTCATGTGCCGTCAAGACACGCAGTTCCTATTAACCGAACACCATTACAGTATGTGAGGGCAGAAAATAACCTGCAAACTGTTAATTTGTGCTGTGCTGACAGTCCCTTTAATAAAAATAAAAGTCCTACTTTAGAATGGAATGGGAAAAAAAGGAATAAAATGACACCAATAAGAAGTCAAATAATTTCTGGGGATATCGGAAGTCAAACAAAGCTCTTCCTATCCCATTTATATCTTAGAATAACATCTGTCCAGTGCAGTATCAATGGAGGCTGAAGTTTAGTGGAGGTTCAGGAGAAGAGGGAAATATATCTGCTAATCTGAATGGTTCTTTGAAACCTATTCATTGCCATTAGTTGTGAAAGTGTTCAGAACAAATTGACTTTTCTCCGTTCTGCTGCATGAGGGCTTCAAAATTCTGTCGTGCATGATGAAAAAAAGATGATTTTACTGTTTCAAACTCTTCTGTGGGGCTTTTCAAATTCACAACTACTTTGAGTTTATAATGAAAATAGCTGTAATTATGCTGTTTTGGGCAAAAACTGCTTTAATCTATCTGTCCGATGGGCCAAAACATTATGGCATGAATGAAAATGGAGCACTTTTGTGGTTGTGGAGTAATGACTCACAGCAGTAGGCTGCCTCGCTGATGACACAGTATTTCCCATCACTGATTCAGTCTATTCTAAAATTTCTTACAGAAACTTTGGAAAACCAAGGTTCCTTTGATGGATTCTGACAAAACATAAGCCTTTCTTTTTGCAATTTCCTTCTATTTACGGTTTAGAAAACATATTTTAACATCTTTCTGTGGATCAGGGGTTTACCCAGTCATAAGTTTTAATATGCCTCCTATCAACAAAGTAAGAAAAAAAATATGTAAAACAGGTTTTGATTACTTGAGAGACCTAAACTGGCTGTATGTTTTGTCATAACTCACCTGGGTAATTTAGTTTGAGATGATCCAGAAGGCATGCAATTTGAACACTTATGCAAGGTAAAACTTTTAAAGTTCAACATGGTGATTTTTTCTAAACTGAGCCTGATGGTGGGAAGATTTTCTGTAGTTAAGATATCCCTAAGTCTCACATATCAGTGCAGCCTAAGGTTACTCTGCTGCACCTTAAAATAGTTTCTGACTTAATCTGATGAGGTTTTCATGGAAGTTTAAAAAACAGCCCAGGGATTAAATAGCTATGGGCTAGTCATAAATATTTCGTATGCATCGTCGATCAGCAAAAGGTTAGAACATCTTATTACACTTTATATCGATCTCTGTGCCACAAGCACTGTCCTGTTACCAATAGTAGTCAGGAAATGCTCTTCTCAATTCGAGTTGAAGTCTGTTGGAGTCCTTGGACTAAACCGAGCAATCTATAAAACCAGTGCATACATTCATTTTTTATACAGGCTTAGACCAAGTGAGACAGGCAATATTAAAGTCTATACACCAGTACCACCATGCCATCAAACTCACTAACAGCTAATCCATACCACCACAATCCATCAGCACCATGCAACGTGGACCAGTCGCTTCCATTCATGCACGTTAGTGTTAAATGCCCTCTGTGTACAGTCCATTGTGTCTATATGTTCCATGTGTGTATAGAAAATCTCTATATGATTTGAAGTTTTCAAAGAATAGGTGCTTTTGAAGTGGCAATTCATGGTCTGACCACCAAGCAGAATGATTGGAGATGTAGGTGTTTAGCAGCAACAACACTATTCTAGAAATATGGTGGTAGGATCCCAGTGCCTTCAAGGGTTAGTGGAGCTGGCTGATAAAATAATGATGGAGACAGATGTAGGCGTTCCTATAGGGTATTGACCATCAAGAGCTTCG